ATGTGCTCTTCTGTTGCAGGTGCTATGGGCTGTCAAATATTTTTTAGGGGTTTGCACGGAAAAGTATGTTGGAGAAATGTACCTGTGAAATGCAGATAAGAAACTTCTGCTCTTCCATAAGCCAAAACTGATTTAGGCATTTTCAATTAAATGAAAACTTGGCTGATGAGAAGATATACCAAAAGAGCTAAAAAGGCATTTGGTTACTGTTCGGAAATGCAGTTTTCTTGCGTCAAGTGGAACGCCATCGAAGACAGACATGCATAAAATCTTAATGCACTTGTGTAGGGCGGACTTGAGGATCACAGCGGGAACTTAATATAACTGGATAATATGCAATAGCTGAAAACTGAAGATGGAATGGCCAAACCTCTTTAATGGCTTTTTTTAAAATTTTGCTGTAAAGCGATTTAAGATACAGGTGCAAAAAATTCAAAGTTCAAAGTTAAGGCCACGCGCTTTAGAATTCCACGCGCGTATCACCACGCGCACTCTAAGCACGTGAAACAGACGATAGAAGCCGTCGTTTCACCAGAGACTAAACGCGAAAAAAGTGAAGCGAATTTTTTGCACAAACTATCGGATCTAACCAGGGTATTATTCATAAATGACAGCTGCCCATTAAATATCTTGCATTCTCAGTATTCACCTTTTAAATTTGTTGTGTTCGTTATGTAACTGGTAAAAGTTTCATCATAGAGTAACCAACTGCGCATACGCTTAAGAATCGCCATTTGGCGGAGGACAGAGAAGGAGATATTGAGTCAGAAGGTGCAGATCCACTTTATTTGGGAAAGAGAAAGCCTAAATGAAACTTTTCATTTACGAAGTTCTGCTTCTCCAGTATCATGTAAGCTTTAATGAATGTAACAAAATCTGATCTAAGCATGTATTCATTCTTAAAAACCAAGTGTTGTAAGAGATATCATGTATGCCAGATGACTAATCGTGTATGTCAGGGAAATTGGCATAGTTAACAATGTCAGGAAAATGTCTTTAGTACGTACTTATGATATCGACTGCGTCACTGGTAGTTAAGTAGGTTTGCATTTATCTAGGTTGGGAGTTTATCAGTTCGATATACATATCCTTGATCCTAGATAGCGATAACCTTGCATATCTACCTAACTAGAAAGCAAAATACACTGTTATCACATGCAATATCTCGTGGTGATATCATGAAATAATTATCATATCAATGATATCAGCACGCGTGATACCAATAGACTTGTAAGAGTTTCCTTATTGCTCCAGGAGTAAAATATTACATCTTATTTTCATTGTTATTTTGCGATACAGTGCTTAGAGATCAAGAGAAGCACTGGTTAGGATGTTTAAAGAAACATAAAATGGTGTTGGAATGAATCAAAATACTTTGGGCTTAGTCATTTAACCCGATATGCTTGGAATTTAAGCCTCGTTTATGCATTGTTTTAAGACCTTTTGACTTCATCATCACGTTTTGTTTGTAAAAATATTATCCTTTTAAACCAAAGTTGAAACGGGTCGGTTTATTTGTTTTAGTCGCAAGAGATACTTCAACGGAAAATTGAAATTTTTATCAGGCAAATCGAATTCGCCTCGTGTATACTTGAAGCAAATTAATAATAATAGTTCAGTAATTATCGAAATGACTAAAAGAATTCGGTTTTATTCGATTTACTGCAAAACCCATATCATCTGTGATAATCATTAATCTTCCAAGGGGTCAACACGATGCCTTTGTAAAACAAGCCTGCTAAAACTGTTTTAGCTAAGATTTAATGAAAACAAAACTATATTAGTGAATACCGAAGTGTTCTGTTCTAGCATCCCCACGTTTGCTTGTTTTCTTTGATGGCGCCAACAGCTAAAAAAACAAGTCAAAATGCGTTTCTAAATCTGCACATGTTTCCTAAAGTTTTTCTTTCAGTAATTTGCGAGAAAACAGCTAGGTTTGAATTCTGTCGTCAAAACAAGCCGACAAAAATGATAACAAAACAATATGTTTTTTCGTCAAATTGGAAACAGAATACAAACGTAAACCATTGAACAGCTCCTGGGAAATGTATTTACTTAAACACACCGGCAGCGAGTTGCACGCCGCATGCAAAGCTCGACTGACATTATTTTTGACATATTTTCTTTGTTTCAGGCGAGTGAAAGGTGCTTTCACAACAGAAAGCCAATTTTAGAATTTGACAGTTAATGTTGCGGTTAAGGAAAACATCCACAATTGTATTGAGATGGACAAAAGAAATGGATTCGTTTCAATTCACGCCCAAGTCAAACTCGAATTCTAGACCACCGTGTAAAAATTCCACTTAAACTTTTACAGGAGTCACGCGCAAGGGCTTTTTTAGGAACTTGGAGATTTAACATTTCTCGAGAATTTGCTGTTAGCCAAGCAGTCTGGCTACGTCTGATTAAAAACGACTAATCACTAACTCTTTACTTTTTTGATTAAATTCAAGTAGCAAGGTCCTTAAGTAGCCAAGGGAAACCCAAGTCTAAGCGGATCTCTCGGGTCGAAGGTGAAACGGTCTTGATAAGAAATTAGATTCTCCCAAGTAAGTTTATAGATTTTAAGAAAAGAAGAGGAAAGAGAATTTGCATTTTTTATCACTAGAAAGTGTTCAATTTATTCACTCGATGGTAAATTGGTATGGATTAAACAGCACGATAGCAAGACACGTGGCGACAAGTTTCAGAAGTTAAAAATATATCCTGCTTTAACTGCGTGTAAACCTCGCATTTAAACGTTACAACAAAGATAAAAAAGATCAAGTCACTTTTCATGTTATTCGTAAGAGTGATGCCGAGCTGAAGAGTTTTAAGCGTAATTAGAGTATACTTTCAGTGCCATACGCCAGTAACCATTTTCTTATCGCGAAGTTATAGATTGAAACCGCTCAATGGACATTCTTTCAAAACCCGTTGAATTTTTAATTAAAAAATTCTTGTATAGTTCTGTCAAGGCTAACCTCCCTGTAAACATTCCCTCACTAAAAAACAGGGTTATTTTTGTCGATGATTCTAGCCTCAAAAAATTTCCTCCAGATGTCCCTGTGACGTGAATGTGTACGCGGACAAAACCACAATTGAGTGTTGGTGGTTGAAACAATCTTAATATACTCTCCCACTTGTAAGTACTCCATAAAATCTTGCCACTTTCTGAATCCCGTTGCTGTTAAGTTGTTATATTCCGGTGAAAAACTATTGCAATTTAGCAGGGAAATAATGTAGTTTTAACCACATTTATCTCATGATTAAAGAGATTTAGATCCCAACATAACTCACACCACCGCCAGTGAACAGCGAGAGTTTATTTTTTTGATGTACGGAATTCAGCTCATTGAAGAATAATGTGAAAACATTTGTAATCGCTGTGAAGAAGAAATCTTTGGGAGGTGGAATGACTGAAGCTAAACGTAATCATTGTTCCAGAAAAATTTGCAGTTTGCGTTTGTCGTTAAGAGGTCATTTTGTCTCTCATCTCCAATTTAAATCTGTTGTAGTTAGTCATATAATTTTGACCAATTGATACCGAAAAAAGTATTTTTTGTTTACAACCTGGAAGGCAAGCTTTATTTGAGAAGTTCAATCTTCTAAAGGTATCAGTCAGCGAAATAACCACTATGAGTTCGTCTTCGATCAAAAATCACGATCTACGCAAAATGCAGCTAGAGAATTGTTTCCATCGGAATTTTAAGCGGGACTAGAGCCTGAACTCTTTAATGACTATTTGTATGTCATAGAAATCGTCTGCAAGAGTACAGCTGGAATTAAATGTAAATTAAATGTCATGATTTTGCACGATAAGGAAGCAGTAGTGGTCGTCTAAAGCGGCATTAACCTATCTTAGATTGCTTTGCGTCAGTTTGTAATGATGTCTTACGGAACATGCTAAATATGTAGTAAGGGAACTTAGCTGATGTAAAGTGTATTTTCTTTGCCTCTTTTTGCTAAACGCGGGGTCAATTAAACGCCAACACTCGAAGATGTTAAAACTGTAGGAACCTTTCGGCCTTCATTTGCCGCTTTAGTGGTTTTATTCAATTCCGTTGTTTTTTCAGACGCTGTAAACGGATTTACAGTTCCCAAATCCGAGTTCTTACCTTGTCTTATCATCAAATATCTACAGTACACGTGAAAATAATGATCACAAGTCAGTGGTGTTTAATCCGCGAGATTTTTCCAAGTTATTGCCGGCGAATTTTCGCGTTCATGGATAGGAGAATTGCGTCAATCATTCAGTGGAGGGGTAAATTATAGAAAGCAAATGTTGTCATGGTTTATGGGCGTGGAACAGAAAAATGCCGCTTAATACGTAAATACACAATTGTATCAAACGCAACTAAGGGAACCACCGCGCGGTATACCACTAGTAAGAAGATTAAAAAGCAATGTAAAAAGTTATCGAGGTTTTAAAAAAGATTAAAGTTGAGAACATTATCAACAAAAGGAGAGTAGACTTTGAGGCATCGATTTTCTCTAAACCCCACAAAGAATTTGCTTAACTCTTGGGAAACAATCGCCTTTTCCGCCGAAAACTGTTTCCAGAAATTGCTTCAGTCAACAACCATTTTTCGGACACCAATTGAAAAGTTTTTAATCTCTTGTAAAAATAGGTGTTTTCTGTCCGGCCAGGGGAAATCTTGAATGCTTATCTTTCACAAACATCTGAGAATTAGAAACGGGGATATGATTCGCACAGCGGGATTGCACTCACTAGCGGATTTACAAACTGGATTAAACGACCTTTTAAAATGTTTCTTGATCTAATACCCAAAGAAAACAAAGGCTTGCCAGCAATATAAGGCTTTCCGATTTTAAAAAAAGAGCAACGACCTTTTCCTCTTGAAAAAATTTCGCTTGCAGTAGCGCGGGGAGAAACCCATTTCTAGCTTCCTGTGTATGGTTTCGTCTTTTGCTACACCCTTCCGTCGATATAAACAACTTTGACAAGGCAAACTATAGAACTGATCTAAATATAGATACGGAACAGCAAGACATTGCTCTTTCTGTCTTTCAAGGGAGCTTTATTAGATTCGTAATGATCCATTTAAAACTGAGCTTTTGCTCTCGTTTATTCAACGATTATTTCTATTCAAAAACTAGCGGAAAATAGCTCGTGTAACTCGATTAGTATTCACCTATATTATTTCAAGCTATTACAACTAAGAGGGAGGGAGGTACAACCAACGTCATAAAAATTCCTGAGGTTAATTGTTTCGTTTTGTATAATGTAAGATTGTGGTGTGTTAACGAAAACTTGTACAAACTGTGATGTCCAGGACATCCTTCCTGCTTCTAAATTAAATTTGTTTTCTTGTACAACCGAGTTTTTAATCCTCTAGTAATTAATATAAATAACATTGACAGCATTTCAGATCAAGAACTTGAAGCTGAAAAACTCAGTCGATAATCATTGAAAATAAAATTGAACTGAATTTTGACCGATGAAGCTCATTATGGGTACCTTGACTCGGCACATGGCAAAATCGTCAGAAAAGCATCGATCATCACGCGCCAAGAAACTTCTGCACAATGGAGAACAATACGAAGTACTAACGCCGCAAACATGTTGTTTGCTCTTGACGGCTAACAGAATAGATTTAATTTAAATGATTATTTAACAAATCAATAGCTTCGCGCCTATTGAATGCCAGTTTGGTGAAAACATTAGGATAAAAAGCAAAATTCACTGTGTAATTATCTTTGCTAATTGTTTCAATACAAAAAACATTTTGTATGTATCATTCAGTGATGAGAAAAATGCCTGCAAAAAACTAGTTAATTATTTTAACACCTAAGGTAATCGTTTTTCTTCTTTGATTCATCACGGTTGCTTTTTGTGCTCTCCAAATATCCCATCTCTAAAACGAGACTTAAGACAAATTATATAAATGATTTGGGAACTGAATACAGCTGAATATCTTCTGAGTGACTATCAAATATTGATAATGTTTAATAGAAGCAATTTGTTCGCAATATCGCCTCATTTTAAAGTACCTGAGTTCCTCAATCTCCATTGGTTTTGCTGTTCGTAGGGAACTAGAGGCTTGCAAGGGCAGTTTGAGCCGCATCAATTCGGTCCTTCTCTTAAAATACTAGTAGGCTAATTCTACCTCTCACTCAGTCGTTTCTAGAGGTTTTTGCTCGATCAGTTCGCTTATCATAAAACTGCCGCTTCGTCGAGATTTGGAGGTTTGTTGGACGGGCTGAAACGCACCGGCGTGAAGGCGCCGAACACCGTCTAACGAGGCATAGCGCGCGGTCGGGCGATGGATGTTTTGTATTGGAGAAAGCTGCGAATGTACAGACGGTGTTGCGCAAGATTCTCCAGGGCTGATCCTGTGAGGTATTGCGTTAAGGTCACAGTAGGTTGGAAAGTGCAAACTTCGAAGTTGCTGGCTGAACTCGTCCACGAACAAGTTAAAATGATGATTGGAATTAACCTTGCGCACAAATGCCGGCTCGTTGGGTTTCTGTGGAGGACGACACTTAAACCTCTTAGCTCGGCGCAGGAAACTCCCGCTTCCAAACATATCCCCTGAGCCTGGATGTAAGGTCCAATAATTCCCTTTACCTGGCTTACCAAAATAACTCCGGGGAACTTTAATGAAACAGTCGTTTAAAGACAAATTGTGTCTAATGGAGTTCTGCCACTTCTGCTGATTGCTCCGAAAATATGGAAACTGCATCATGATGAATTCGTAGATTTCATTCAGGGTTCTCATGCGGTACGGAGAGCTGTCAATAGCCATTGCGATCAGCGCGATGTATGAAAATGGCGGCTTTACTTCTTCAGAGAGATAAGGCTTGCTTCGCGACTGCATGTTGGATTTACCCGTGATGTGGTTTCGTTTCGGTTCGGGACTCTTTATATCGACTGAGAAGAGCGAGGATTGGATGGCAACCTGATGAAAATTTCCTGAACGGTACATCAATGATGTATCGGTAGTTATTTCCTTGTGTCCGTTCATCGGAACGGTCATCGTGTCAGCACTCGAGAGGTTTCCTGTCTCCATTCCTGTGCACTCTTCAACGATATCCTTCGCGGATAAATCGCCTTTTCTCAGCTGTTCCATAGCCATGCAAACTCAATTTAACACCTAGCTCTTGTCTAGCGTCAATTTCAGGGCTATAATCTGCTTCCTTTGGGAGAGCCACTCAATCACTTGTTTCCCGCACGGACGGAGATCGCTCTATTTCACAGCAGTCAACACACTGCGAAGTCACCACTGGAGATGAATCTCACACTTCTTCAGCGTAAAAGCTCCTAAACTCCTTTATTTTAAGTCTGACAGTTTTCTAGACCACCCAAGTTCGGTTTGTAGTCGGTGTTTTTACAGCAAACCTTCTTATGATGCAGAAATCTTGTGCACCGTCTTTTCCCAGACCAGAAAGTCCTCAGATTCACGTTATGTGGTTGCGAGGGGTATGCAATTAGTTGTCAACTCGGCACATTTATATCTCTCCACTCATCGTTTTAGAGGCGGTCGGTTGCCTTTGATAAATGCGGCGCGCACGAGGAATGCTTCGGCCATCTGGCGTAAATTAAAACTATCTGTCAACTGAACGTAAATTCCGTCCTGTGCGCATTCCTTAGAAAAACAAAAGAGTTCTCAAGTTGTTTAGGGTTGTTTTTCGCTTTGTTATTTTAACTAATTTTATAACAGGCGCGATCAAAGTTTTCAGTTACAGTTTACGTGGTCGGTAAACGCGATTGATTTCACGGGCAACTGCGTAAGGCTCGTATTTTGCGCGTAAATCCGCGTATTTATTTCTATTTTAAACCGCAGAAAGACGCATTTCAGGAAATGCGCGTAGCCTTTAACAAAGTAAACAACTGATTAGATCGAAAAACAAATTAGCAATTAAGCGGGCGATTAAAGTTCACCTAGACGCGATAACAGATCGGCCATCGCAGGTCCGAGTTTAAATGGATTAAATGTGACTCTTTGTAGCTTTGTAGATTTTTTTCATGAGGAGCAATTCTCAGCCCTATTGTTGCGAAAAGTATGTTTTGATTCGTAGTCGGGTTTAAGTCAACAAAGGTCGGTTAGAGCCTCGAGTGTTGTTTATAATTGTTTTCACGAAGCTTGTTTATTTGAATTAATGAGGGTAACATGAGTCGTTTATGGATAAAAAGTGACCAAGGTTGACGCGTGCGCCGGCAGCCGCCAGAGGAAATGGGCGAATACCATCACAAAAGAGGTGTGGATCTGAAAAACGCATTTGCTTAAAATAAATGGGCTATTTCCATACCGGTGTCATTGCATAGTTTTCTGCTGTTTTACGGCAGTTTTATGTTTGTAGAGGGCTTTTATTGTTTATTGGTTGTATCCCGTCGTGTGAACAAGTCTTAGGTCTGCGGAATGCGCTGTATAAATAATTTGCAATTTGGTTTTGCAATAAAGATCTTCTAGCCTATTCTCAAAACATCAAATGAAATTGACAACTAGACAGTCGCACCTAAACAAGGATCTTCGCCATCTTTTACTATCAAAGCTGAACGATCTTAATCGTTCCCTAATGGAGCGGTGAAGATTGATAGTCTAGAAACGTACTTTAGAGATCCAATGTGCTATTTCAGACCAGCATCGCATAATTTCTTTTGAAGTTGAGTTAAATAAATAATCTCCTAGTGAGCCATTAACTCGAGCTATTGACGCACGCCAGAAAAATGATTTCTCCACGCGCGTGTCTTTCTTTCGTTACGATGAATTCTTTCACTTCCTGCCAACCGAATTCCAGTTTACTTTCTTCCTGAAAATGGACGCCTCTTTTGTTTCGAGCAGTTTCCGGTGATTGCAATGTTTTCCTGAAATTGTTTTTACTTGTAATTGAGCCTCGTCTCTTTCAGGGACTCTTAAACTGATCTCGATCTTTGCTTCGAAAACGCCTGGGCCATCCACGCTTTATATTCGTCTCGTGGAATTTTCGCGCGCGACGTTCTCGAAATGACACAGCTGGCCATAAGAGTAAGTCGATTTAGCGGTATTTATAGGCATCTTTGTCAGCAAACGAGCGGTACAATACATTTCCTTTATTCTCCGCAATATCCTAGCTGTGGTAAATAGCTTTGTAATGGTGTAATCTGCACTAGAGCTAAGGATCTGTTGGATGTTTGTACTTGTCCCCAACACCATTTAACGATCGGTGGGTAAAGTCAAACTACTTTGATGAAAGGAAACCACTCAATAGTTGTAGTGTCCCAAAATTTGCCCTTTAATGAAACTTAGGAAATTCCGATATCAAAGAACGTTAGCGTAATTACAGATCATACGTTGCCGCATGAATCATCCGATTGCGCTTTTCAAAGCGTAATTCAAAAGCTAATACAGTAATGTTGAAGTTTGCTTTAGATCGAAGTGGTCGATGTGAATGTTCTATGTCGATCGAGGATAAACCCGTAATTTTTTCACACTTTTATGCCTCATTTACCTGTTTTCTACCGAATTAAATTGAATTTATCACTTTGTTCAGACCAACATTGCAACTTCTACTCTATGTCCATGTAAAGCACTTAAACCCGGCTTGAATCACGGAGAAGGGGTCGCAACGGAACATTTCAAATTTGTAAGATCTTTAAGCGTGTGATGTCTTGCTGTCTATTCGACTTCATTAATCAGCTTTATCATTACTTTGGTCACTCTGGAGTCACAAAGTCTCGATATGCCGCGTTTTTAAAAGACTTAAGGAATTTTTGCTGGGTGTCCAATTCAAAAATTCCAATTTAATCGAAGGAAAGTAGGAAATAATATCGCTATAAGCTTGCCATAAATGATAAATAAAAACAGTCAAATCCTTAGATTTAAATATGATATAAACATCGGGTAGCTGTGAACGAAAACTAAATTTTAAGGCTATTTTGATATGGTGTTATAAAAAAGGAGCGTTCGTAATAAATCATTGGCGTAGCATAAAAATTGCCACACATATATATGTTGGGACAGGCATCGTTTTAGTTGATCTCTAGAGCTTTGTGTCTAACACGATCTAAGGCTCTCTAAGTTCTCTTGTTCCGGAGGTCAAAATCTGTGTTAATTCAATAGCTGCATACCAATTTTACAGTTTGAGTCAGTTCAAGTTATGCTTTCCACAAAATTTCACAAAAATGTGTTGCTAGAAGCAGAAGCATTTAGGTGTCTTAGCTAAACCAAGTGAATGACACATATCATGCTTTAAAACTCTTGATACCTTGAGTGAAAAGCAAACTATAAAATAAAAGATTTAAAAGAAATGCTGAAAGAAAATATAAGGAGAAATAATACCTTATTCAACAACATCAGAAATCGAAATCCAGTATGGAGAACGTGCAAAAATATAACAGTAATTCACCATAAAAAAATTTAGCAGCAGCAACAACAAACACAAACTCAGTGGGCTATTTTATCTCCCTTTATTTCAGCATAAAATTACACTCCATTCGACTGAATTAAATCTTTAATTTTTTGCTTAAAAGTTTGCTATTCCCTTTCGCTCATACATAAATCTGAACTCAAACTGTGATTACACACGTAACAATATTTTAAGCTTCAGTCAGGCTCCCGCCAACAAAAGTTAGCTGTGAAGCGTTTTGAGCAAGTACTATTAATAACAGAAAGCAAAATACAATGAGAAATGAATTATGTCTAAGTCAATTATTTCCTAAACACAGCTAACTTTGTTAAGATGTTTGTTTCAACAAGTGATTTAGTCGAGAAATTTCATTAAGGACAATACAAAATAATAATAGGCGAGTTATCTAATCGTTGAAAGCTGCGAGTAAGTCAGTTAACAGGTTTGTTTGAACAAGTGATATAATTGAAGAATATCATTATGGGAAAAGCTTACAGAAACAAATCATAGCTTAGCCAATCAGTTCTGGAAAACGTTCTCCATTCAGCTAATTTTAACAATCTTTAGCGTTCGTGGAGGAACGCTCAAAGCGCGGGTCATTTTGCCTGAAACAATCCAAGGTAATGGGCTACGATCAGTTGATCAACTGAAGTGTGTGTTACAATACCATTGAAATATGACTTTTGAGCTATTTCGGTGCTTTACCTGAGATGAATCACTGTCGAGTTCTTGTCTCCTAGTTGGACTCAATTCGATTAGGACTTCATACTGTGTACTCATTAATTCATTTATTGCTAAAGATTCATTAGCTTCTCCAACCTTAATTAAGGCATCCAAGGGCACAAGGTAACCTTGGAAGAGGGTGCAAAAAGCCTGTAAATCAACTGAAGCCAAGGAAATTGACCACAACAATAGATTTACCCCAATCTTTAAAAAGGTTTTGGTTTTCGAGATACCCCCTCAAAGAATTGTCAGTATACATCTATCTTTCGGAAAGCATTGTCAGGCGTATAGCTTTGCAATGCTTGTAGTAAAATCACCGTTTTGAGTTCATTTTGAATTTGTCAGAGGATTGAAATGTGCCTTTAGAGAATTTATTTTTTTTTGCACTTCTCCTGTAATCAAGATTCCCTTACTCATACGGGCGAAAAACATACTACTTGTTCAAACGAGAACATGGATAGTCGAAGCTATCGATTACTGACGCCTCACTAGTTCTCTCATGACTAAAGCTTTTAATAACAGTATGAACAACATTTAGATCAGATAGCAATTGCTTCAGCTGATAACCCAACGCACTCTGCCAGTGAAGCTTTAGACGTAAGTCGGTTCAGTTGCAGTGAACAAATTTTTTCATTCATCTTCAGTATACTTCTGTGCAAAGTATTCTTAACATGTATCAAAATCATAACAAATGAATTCTTGTAATTTTTTATCTATTGTGTTTGACAAACCTGTTGTATGATTTACAGTTTATTCAATTTAAATACTTCTACTCCGTAGAATCTCTTCTGTCTATCCAAAGGCTTGGGTCCGTTAAGATACGATGCAAGTTGCCAACCTCATGAGAAAACGAGGAAAAGAAGATGAGTTATTTGTAGTCATACTGTTTATGCAGCTGGTTTACAAATGTCTTGGTCATTTGTTACCCAAAATTGAACCCTCCCTTTTTTTTATAATCAACATAATCAGTAATGCCAATTTGTTCGTAAAGATCAACCCACGAGAGTGTATCACTGAATGGTCTACAGCTTGCCCCAGATAACTGTTGCTGGCGTGCGGCCATTAGGACTGATGTGTGTGCAAAGTGTTCTGTATTCAACCCCGTTTTTGTGTTTCTGAGCTTCCAGCAACTCGTTGCGGCAAAAATAAAGTATCATTACATTGTTTAAGCAGAAGTAAGGTTAAATTTCTATTTTCTTTACTCTGAACAAAACTGAATTTGATAACAACAAAGTAGTTGTCTGGAATCTTCTTTGGATTTCGTGGTTTCCACAATCGACGGGGGAACTTTCGAGGAAAGTTTTAATGATTCAGGGAGAAATGAAAGGAAAACTTTGAACGGTTCGCCGAAACTATTTCGATCCCCAATAAAATTATGTGTTTCTCTCACGCGAGGATCCCATAAAGGTAAAATTCAACTCTTGCGCTAGCAGT